TTTTAATTAGTTAAGAAATTTTAACCTAAAAAGTCTTGATGATTTTACCTTTGTAATTTTATTTGGGTTGGTAGTTTTGCAAATTCCATAGTTTTATATATAAAAGTTTACCTTTCTTTAATGTAACGAAATTAAATTGTCTAAACAATAGATATGATGATAATGTACTAATGCAAGAGATAAATGTATAAACAACAAAGTGATGGAACTTAATAAATCACACACCACAAAATAAATAGAAAATCTCTTACAAAATGACAATGTAAATACTCTATCATGGTTATAAAAAAAATACCTTACTTGCTAGTATAGGTTAGGTTGAGTGTGGGTTTTTAAAATATGCAACAAAGTTAAAATGCATTCATTTTAAGAAAAACTAAGCTTAACGTAATTTAAGCCCCCGCGCCGTGCGCGCACACACACATATATATGTTGTATTATACTAACATTTATGCTATGTATTATTCATTGTTCTAATATTCAATATTGTTCAAGAATTTTATAATACTATTAACTATCTAAATTTTTTTATTTACTTAACATTTTATACTTCTATTAAACTATAATTTTAAAGGGCAAAATTTTAGAATTTTAGTCAGCCTAATTTTAAGTCCGAAACTGGAAGTGCAATAAATTAAAAGAGCCAAAATAGTTCAAATCCGAGCAAGCCGAATCTAAGCCCACCAATTAAATTTTTTCTGGGCCTAAGTTTGAGCTGATCATAACTTCACAAAAAAAAAAAAAAAAAGCTCAATTCACAGCCAAACCTAAAGGACCCGAGTCAAGAAGGCAAGGGTCAGTTTGACTAGAAAAGGCAAGTGCTATTTGGAAGAATTTGGACAAGATCTTGGCTGAAAATGATCTTGATAAGTTGTTGAAATTTAAAATAAGGACGAATTCGAACATTTCTAAAGACAGAGATTTAGAAGATCAAATCAAATCGACTTACATATGGTAAGAAATCGTGAAAATATAATTTTGATTAGAATTTGACCTTCCAAAATTCAAAATCAAGATAAAAGTGAGGAAAGTAAATTGACTAGACCTAAAAAGGGATATTAAATTGTTTGAAGTTAAATATTATCATTAAGCACTAATTCAAGATAAAAGTATAAATAAGCATAGAGCTTACTAAACCACACAGCAAAACAAGTAAAAAAAAAATTCATATAAACTGACAGTGTAAAACTGTCTCACATACATACATATATGTATACATATATGCAAACACACACGTGTACATATATATATATATATATATATATATATATATATATATATATATATAATTGGCATAGATGCACTAGAACCCCTCCTTTAAATCTATAGTTACAATTGACAACTTAAATTAAAATCAAATTGAAAGTATAACCCAATTTGCGATTTAACTATAACCCATTTATTTTTTGGATTTGTCTCAGATATTCAGAGAGCCACTAGTCAAATAGTATTCCACGTATTGATTTTGCTTTCAAAAAGTGAAACTCAAGAAATATAAAGTAGAGAAAATATATTAAGTTCATGTGTGTCGATGAGTACCTAAAATGCCGAACAAAATCCATTTTTTTTAATTTTTGAAGGAAACCGTACAAAATCCTTAAGCCACGCATTGTCAATAGACACTAGTACAATGGCAATCTTTTTTTTTTTTTGGTCGCAACTTAACATTTCTATAATCTAATATATCCTAATTTAGGGGGAGGGAGAGCCAATGAAAGTAGAAACTCTATTGGAGAAAGTTATCGAAGACAGCCACATATAGTGATAATAATAGTCACTCATCCATTATTTTTACGTAAATTTTCTCTTTCGCACATAATCACACATTAGCTGCAAACACCCCAATAATGATAAGTATAAATGTTGACAAATTGCATTTAACATCTGGTATCAATATTAACACAAGTGAAGAAAAAAAACATAAAGACAAAGATTATGAAAATAACGATAAAACTATCGCATCTTTTGTTTCAATTAAAAGAGGAAAATAACAACAATGGGACACACATTTTTCAGTGTTATACAAAGGATGAATAGCCCATCCATTGAAAATTAGCTCATTTGTTGCGCAATTCCCGCCCGCGCTAGATTGGTCTGCTGGTGGAAGTAGCCTCCTTAGGTGAGTTCCACCTGGGTTCGATCCTGGGTAGCAACCCAGTTGTTATCTTCTTCAACATTGGTCGAGCCCGCTTTGCTGGAGCGCTGTGGGATTAGTCGGGTGTAGACCCGGATACCCACAGTGATGAAAAAAAATATATATTGTAGCGTAATTCCCATTTCAAGTTTTTTTTTGGGGGTGTGGTGCGACATAGGCCAATCAATTGGGATGAGCTAGCCTGAACACTAGTTGTTCGGCCCACAATTTATTGGGTTGAGCCTTATGCAATATGAATTGAATTGAGTTTGGAATGAAATATTTTGTCTAAACAAATCTAGTTAAATGGTTGAATTTTAGATGACAAACTATGAAGGTTTTTCTTCTTCTTCTTGTCTTTTTTTTTTTTTTTAACATTCCACCCCTAATTGTTATGCACAAAATCATTCCACCCCTAACTGTGAGGCACAAAATTCGAACGTTCAATTTAGCAATGGAGAAGACTCTAAAACCCTCCTCTAGCCATTAGATCGATTTCAGCGATTGGTGAGCTATATTATTTTTTTATCATAAAATTCAAGATATTAGAAAAACATCTATAGATTGGTTGGTTATTTCATTTATTAATTGAAAAAATACATGACTTGAGTTTGGGCCAATCCGAATTCGTTTCAATACCCTACTTTTTTGGTGAGTGGAACATGAGCTACAAAAAATATAAGTCTAATTGAGTTGAGTTTGAATTCAAAAGATTGATATTTTGTGTGAGTTAGATTTGAGCGCGTCAAAATCTGACTCATATATCCCAATTGATAGGCCCCATTAAACACTTACGGATCAAATATCTATTTTTCCTTTTTCAGTGGCAGAGAAAGTTCAAGATAAAAAATCTGAAGCGCCACCGCATATGTATATTATATGATATAACTAGGTGAAAAAGCAATCAATCATCTAAAACAAGAATATTTCCCAGAGAAAAGCAAAAAGGAAACGCGAAAGATTGAAGAATACGATTACAATAAATAACCATCGACTAACTTGTTAATATCATGGAACATAAGAAGTTGCCAACGTTAAAACTAAAGAAAACCTTTAACATTTCTTTCTAAGGAATCTGCTTGATCCTCAAATTCCTCGTTGCAAGAAAATATTCTACTAAAGAAAACCACCCTTTCAAAACATAATTTTCTCGGAATCCCTCTTCCTACTTTGATAACTGTAAACCAAAAATAAACAAACAAATATATTGTTGGAACTTCAGAAGGGAGTAGCTTCACCATTAGTACTTGATTTCATGATTAGAGTTCCAAAATGATTGGTATTCGTGCATCACGAACTCATATGTTGTATATCTTGACTACCCATACCTTCGCTTCTTGATGTTTTCTTCACTTTGAACGCCCTTTTCAATGTCGGAGTCCTCATCGGGACAAAAAGAGGACGGGGATGATTTTACTGCCTTGCCTCCGATGAAAATTCTCTCTAACATTGAGAAGCAATCAGCAAGAAGCACAAGCAATCAGCAAGAAGCACAAAAAGAAAAGCAGCACATATAACAAGATAAATTACGCCAATGGGAATCATATAAGCGGCAAAGCCAATGTGGTATGCCCGCCCAGAACTGCCAACAGGCTCCTGGCTAGCCAACTGAATGCAGTTGGTGGCTCCCATTATCGCAGCGTTTACTGCTATCCAAGTTGTGAACATGCAAAAGCCAATCAGGAGAAGACGATAACATGATTCTTCTGCTTCATCATCATCATCATCACGGCCATAAGATGATTCTTTCCAACTGGGATTGTTGTTGCAGTCCATGTCTTCCATGAAGCACTTTCCTTCCCCCTGGAAGATGGAAATCCAAGAAAGTGAACTTCGATTATGGATTTGCCCGAAGATTGATTCTTGACTTCCAAAGAAACTGAACTTCAATCGTCTCTTGCTTGAAGAATGATTGATTCTTGACTCCAACTGAGATTATATAGGGATCTGAATGGTGCAATATGGGAAACTGCAGCAGACACTGCAGGTTGCCAAAAAGTGGAGAACCGACTTACCATACTATGGAAAGGAAATCTTGTCGCAGTTTTTGGAATCCTTCGTTCAATTTCCACTATCGATGGACAAGTTTCCATTCCCACACTTCCTTTTCCTTCGTTCAATATCTAATTTCCTTTTTCATTTGTTGACGAAATTTTCTTAGACGAACTACTCAATGAGACCCTTGGCCTAGTTAGTCCAGTTTATGCTGTTAGGTGATTCCAAGGATTTACTTCTTGTAAATTTACATGTTACAATTCTTCGTCTAAAATTTTGGGTAATAGTACAAAAGAAATACGAAATTAAAGAGTGGCATTATTGTTTTCCTAAAAAATTTCTTGTCATTTTTCACAGGTTTATTGTGTTCAAGATATTGCAAAAAGAATACACACCAAAGGGATAAACAATTCAACTCATTGAAATTTCTAATCAACCAGGTCAAAAAGAAAAAGACGTTGGAACAAAGTAAGAGAAAAGAAAAGTATAAGAAGAAGGTCAAAGGTTCGAAAAGCACGAACTACCACATGAATCAAATTCCCACTCATGCTGGCACAAAATACTTGGGAGAGTTTAAGTGTAGCATATCTTTTGCAAACAATGATGGAGTCCTCAATTACGCAACGCGAAGTGTAGATGACTCCTGTACATGCTACAAGCGGAATATACCACATAACTGCAAATCTGTTTCTTTTTTAAACAGTGGCAATTTGCTAACTTCATGAGAAGCTGTCTAGATACCTATTACATTAACTATTGCTACTTTTGCTCTTCCACTCACCACCCATCCACAACCCTTCCACACCCAAAAACGCAGAAGAGGAAAAATGGAAAAGAAGGGTGTCATTCTATACAGATAGGAACATTACAGTCAGTCAATGACAATAGGAGTTATACGCCTTTTGGCTGGCTTATTTGCTGTGGGAGTGGCCAATGTAGCTGTGGAAGCTTGCTTTTCGTCATTATGAGCTTCAGCCTTCTCACTTTCTGCACCATCAAGGCTGTTGTCAGGCTCAGTTTTTGTGAAAGAAGCCCCTTGCGCCTGCTGCAGAGTTTTACGGTCATCCACGATGTTTCTCTCTTCTGCAAGATGAATCATGGCTGATCAGAAAATGACAATCATGATTGGAAGACTTTGTGAGATGCATTTGTCAGTATAAGTTCAAAAATAAACCTGAAACAGGGACCGATGATCCCAGCTCCTGATTTTGAAATTCTAGGAGAGTACAATAGCCATCTTGTGAGGACAATGCCAAATATTTGCCATTTGGTGACCTGTTCTGTAAAACCCGATTTTTGGCACCGATGTTATTATTCTATTTTATTTTCTCAATTAATTAAAAAGATAAAATTTGCTGGTAAAGGAAAAAGAAAATGGAGTAACTGTAGGATGGGCTAATGGGCTCTAATAAAGTAAAACTCTGGCCCAAGCCACCTATTAGTAAGTATTGCTAGGGTTAGAATTTTACTAAGATCCTAGACAGAAAAAAAATAACCCTAGCCTTACTTTCTTTCGTCTGCCCTAGAGCAAGAGCCGTCAGAGAGGAGAGAAGGAGAAGAAGGCCACCATCAATCGATCCGACAACTAGGCACCTAAACTTGTAAGTCCCGACTTCACACAAGTAATCTTCTCTTTTTAAGTTTTAGTAGATGTATTGATTATTTTAGGAGATTTATGGATTTGTGATGTTGTTACACATATGTAGATATATATGTTCTTATACGGAATTTAGAAGGATTCATATTGGATTAGTGGAAATAGGGTGTTAGATCTTGGTCGTTGTGAGTAGATGACCCAAATTTGTTGAGGAAAAGAAAACGAAAAAAAAAAAAAAGGAAGAGGAGCGGCGGCTGCTCTGTTTTGGGCAAGCACTGCCGCAGGGAAAAGGAATTACAAGGGTCCAAGGCTAAGAATAAAAAAAAAAAAAAAATATTAGACAATGTCGCCAGCACTTGCTGGCGACAATGGATGCAGGTAAGGCCAAGGGCCAACCAATTGAAGAACTTGGGTCGCCAGGCTCTCTGGCGACCATGGTCAAACATGGTTGGCCAAAGGCCAACCATGGGCCCCACCAAGAATTAAAATAAAATAATAGTAACAATAATAATAATAAAAAAAAGTAAGTAAGTAGAAAGGGAGCAATTTAAACTTGGACCAAACTACAATATAAAACTCAGTAAACAGATTTTAAATATAATTAGTCCATTTTTATAGTGTATTGGGAATATTAAAATCGAGGACCCAATTTAATATAATTACTAGAGTTGGGGGTTAGTTATGTAAGCTATTACTTTAGTAATTAAGTCTAAAGTACTTAAATGGAAATCTAAAACATTTTAACCTGGCCTTATTAGATTAAGTTATACAATGTAAGAGGAGCTCTAGATTGTTGAACAAAGCGCTTAAAATAACAATAATAATAATAGTAATAATAATATGGATGGAACAAATAAAGGATGTAAACGAAAATATAAATATGTAAATACAAGTGTAATAAATTAAGACAATAATTATAATAATAAATCGATATATTTATAAATATATATGCACATATATAAATAATAATAACACCTACACGTGCACAAAAGTTAGGAATAAAGTAAAAGGTAATAATAACTGATAAATATATATATAAGTGGTAATAAAAGTAGCGGCGACAAGGACGATAATAAATAATAATAAATAATCATTAATTATAAATATGTATAGTAAGATAACAGTCAAAAATAAGCATGATTATAAATAATTGTTTTATTTTAAAATTAGGAAACTTTACAAAAGCAGAACTTTCCAAATTAAGAAACTTCTAAAAATAGAAACTTTCCAAATTAAGAAACTTTCTACAATTAGAAACTTCCCAAATTAGGGAACTTTCCAAAAATAGAAATCGCCCAACTTGAGGGAGATGCTATTAGGGTCCATTTAATGGTCTAAGTATGAATCTTATTCTTTTTAGAAGTTGTATATTTGTGCATTTATAGGAAATAGCAGCTAATTAGGGAACCTATGCGTTTGATAGGTGCAATACAAGGACCTAAGGTAGTTCTACTCGAGCAGCCAAACAGAGGTAGGTGTACTTACCCTTCTGAGATTTCAAATGTGTAAAGTGGAATTCTTGTTTAAATCCTATTTTGTTGTGTTGACTCGAAAGGGGTTTGATTAAATGCTTTGCTTACATATTTATGTTTTACTATACAAAACTGGACCATGTGACTTATTTCAAATGTTTTAATACGTTTCTTATATACAAAATGAGTTGAATCTTTTATGAAAGCAAAGATTTACGTATACGATATATGAAATGAATTCGACAAGTAAGCTCAGAGCAGTCATGAAATAGACGGTAGGGCTATAGTCCTGTTTAATCGCATGGTAGCCTGGTATTAAGCCCAGCGATTGGTGAGGTCATGGTAGCCTGGTATAGAGCCCAGCCGATTGACCAATGAATAAAGTCATGGTAGCCTGGTATAGAGCCCAGCCGATTGACCAATGAATAAAGTCATGGTAGCCTGGTATAAAGCCCAGCCGATTGACCAATTGAGAGAGTCATGGTAGCCTGGTATAAAGCCCAGCCGAGTGACCAAGAATGAAATGAGACCAATCGGTAGTCATGGAACTTATTGGTCGCCCACCTAGAAGGGTAAATCTCTAGGCTGAGTACTCAGTAGCCGGTCATTACATGTACTTGTCATGAGCTGATCTGGATGAATTGATTTATGAGTGAATATGAAGAGATTTGTGACTTGAGACGAAATGAGTATGACTTTACGATTTCTTATGTACAACTATCGATAAATGCTTTTAAATTGCCTTGGCTTTCATTACTATTGATTGCTTTATAAATAACGTTACTTCCAAAATTATGGATGGGAATGATAGGCACTTGATTTGAGTTGTACTTATATATTATGTACCTATAAAATTAAGAGTGCATGGTCCAACAGAGGGGTAAATATTACCTACTGAGCGATGTGTCGCTCAACCCACTTCTTACCATTTTTGCAGATTCGGAAGAGTATGAATTGGCTACATAGAAGACCCTGAGGATGACTTTTATTAGTTTAGGTGCATAGAAGTTGGCAGGCTAGCTAATTCTAGTGTTATCTTATTTACTTTTGTTTCCGTTGTTTCAATTGGAGAATAAATGTACGAACGCCTTGAATATTCGTAGACATCCTTTTATATGTAATTCGAGCCGCACTTTATTTGGTTGAATTATTTAGTATTGCCAAGTTTAATTTAGTTAATGTAGCCTTGTATTCCTGAGTGGGACTTGGGAGTACGGCGGATGTCGTGTGACGGGCACGTGCGGGCTCGGGGCGTGACATTTTTAGTGGTATCAAAGCCTAGGTTCGAGATAAGACCATAAGATCAAATAATTCAAAAATTAAGTAATGTAAGTAGTGAAGTAGGTTTGAGAAAATCCGTGTACTGTAAGAGGGGGAAGCAGCACTGATGGTATTCCATTTGGTATTATAGGAGATGGCCGAACCAGTGCACGGGGAGCAGGAGCATTGCGATTGCCCAGTCCATTTGACAGGATGTGACGTGGCTCGTCTTAAGAAGAGACAGAGATTTTACAGGGACAGTTTCCTAGAAGAGTTAGAGAGAGCCACGGACGGAGCTAGGAAGGCTTATGCGTTGAGTGACCGAATAGCTGATCAAAGGCAAGAGATTCGTCGCTGATAGTGTCGAGGGAGCACATGAGACAGGACATGGAAGGCTGGCGGGGAGAGGCCCTCCGTCTGCGGGAAGAGGTCATTAAGCTGAAAGCAGATATGGAAGTACAGAAACTAGCTGATATGTATAATGAAGGGTTTGAAGAAGTAGCTTCCCTACTCCAGCATAGACAGGAGGCGTACGAAACCCTAGCGGTGAAATATGGAGAGAAAAGGCAACGCGTGATGAACTGGATAGCTGACCACCAGCCCCTTGCACCGCAGATGCCTGGGTGGGATCACCTGTGGCCTGATAGTGATGCAAGAGATAGAGGATGACCCCGAGGAGGACCCTGAGGACATGCCCCTGGAAAATCAAGAGGGGGAAGATGGAGTTGAGGACCAGGACGGTGCTGGAGAGGGCGTGGGAGATGGAGCTATTGTGGATGCGGACCCACCAGTTGATGAGTAGTGGAGTTGGTCTGAGAGGGGTTTCATTTGGCGAACCACTCATTTTAGTAGTGTTATGAAATTAGTCCAAAGCGTTGGTAGGTTGATTAGCGATTGTTCGCGTAGATTAGTCCTCTAGCCGGTCGTAGGCTATAACTAGATAGTTTGGACGCTAGGTTGTAGGACATTTTCTTTTGGAAATAGTTGGATTATTTGACCGCTGTTTAAGGGGGTCGATTGTTCTTCTCGTTCGGAGTAGCGAATGAAACCTCCTATTTAATATATATATACATTTTTTTTATGTGTTATTATGAATTAATTGGCATCATAACTTGTTCATGTGATCTTCCGCCCTATTGATTTAAGGGTATACGCGTAAAGTATCGAGTAGGTAACCCTAGACGGACTGTCTTAACAGCGTTAAAAGTGTTTTCTTGGTATCTATGTATGTGTATACATGTATGCATAATGATATATAGGGGTAAAAGACTCACTTGGTATGGGGCTCATTTGTGTGATTTAGGAAATGCACCAAGAACTAGGGCGCGGCGGGAATCGCTATGGCAGCCCTAATGGCGAGAACGTCCAGGGTAGTTACAACCAAGAACCGTATCAACAAAATAATGTTCAGGATACTGGTTATCAGGGGCCGGTTCAGCGGGCAGCAACCCTACATGATGCTACCGATTAAGAATTAGTGACTGCCCAAACTGGAGTACCCAAGCACTACAAGCCCAATCACAGCTAGCGCAAGTCCACTGTCCAAACCAGGGTCATGGACAAGGGGAACCCAATCCTACTATGAGAAGATGAAAAGGGTCCATGTCCCCACCTTTGATGGAACCCCTGATCCAGACTTGGCAGAAAAATGGTTAGATGAAATAGAAAATTAATTTCGCACTGTTGCAAGTGCCGGAAGAGATGAAACACACTAATTGTCAAACCCTTTTGGTAGGGAGGCCAATAAGTGGTGGGCAACTCTGGAACCTACCATCGTCCCACCAGTAAGTTGGACAAAATTTAGAGAGGAGTTCCTGAAATACTTTTTCCCACCTGCCGTGAGGATGCAGAAAATAGATCAGTTTAAAAATCTGAAACAGGCACCGGGAATGTCTGTGGTGCAATATTCGAATAAGTTCACGGCACTGGGAAGTTTCGTGCCGTCG